GTGTGGCAAGGGTAAGTAAATATTTACGTACAGATGATCGATCACAAATGATTATCTGATTTCACATTTAGTGTTATGTACGAATGGTCGCACTTCAAGTGGAACCAAGAATCCGGGGCAACATTTTTCGACGGGCCAATTCAGCACGTGAGATTGTGATGGATGGCAGAGAAAGTAGAGACAGATCGAGGGCACGGACAGAAGATTATTCCAGAAAATTCCTTTGGGGCTGTGTCAGCGTAGATGATCCTAAAAATAAGTACTGCCGTCCAAAAATGAGTACTAGTGAGTACGTTACGAATACTACTTAAGCACACAAACTCTCAATCAAAAATCCTGAAATGGGATACTCCACAGAGGAAAAGATAAAAATACCACCAAATGCACTGAAACCGGGCAAATTCTATAACTACAGTTTAACATTGTATTCGCGAATGGATTTCCGAGTCTATGCCACGGAATATCAAATGCTGGAAGTTGTCAAGCAACGTACAATCACGCCAAACATACGTTGCCATCGAAATTGCTATATGAAAACGTATGCCCCTATCGACAGCTTCCACTTTTCGGGTGAATGTGCCGATTGTGATTCAGAGGTTTATTTCTATAGATGGTATGTGACAGTGCCAGGGGGACAGCCAAAAATAGAGTCAAGATCTAGAAATCTTGTAGCACGGCATACTGAGCCGAAGCTAAAGATACGACTGGAGATCGTGCTAAGGAATGGTGTCTCCGGAGAGGCACATTTCTTATTGATACGAAACGATGGACCACAGAATGGAGAATGCACGATATTCCCACATAAAGGAATAGAGGCCCATACATACTTTTACGTGCCCTGCGTACACTTCGAAACGAAGTATCCACCATTACAATTTAGGTATACAGTTGCAATGAAAGTCATCGACTCGAATGTACCCTACCCACTGTTCAAATTGACTCTACCGTCCACCAACGAGTTACATGTATCGATATGCGATTACCTTGACATGTGCATCGATGTAGATCTTAAGGTCACAGTGCTTAAAACCAAAAGAATAGGTGAATACAACGCAAACAATACGCTTAAGCATCTTTCGGATCTGCAGAACTATATAAGTGAGGTGCCGTACTTGCTGTCGCGTGGTAGATGGAACAAGGCCTACGTCAAGACACTGGTGGCTATTCAGAAGATTGAAACATCTGCCGAGGGCACAGAGCTCTACGAATACTTAGAAAGGGGAACCATAATAACGGGTGCACAGCTCGAACAGCTCTCAGTGTTGGCCTGTGAAGTTGTTGAACGTTTGATGCCCATGGACTATAAAGAAGCAGCCATGGTTGCTCAAATATTTACACGAATGAGCGTGGTGTTTGAGCAGATAATCCAAGACATCGAATGGCTACATCGGGCAGCGTACAACGCGCTCACCGAGCACCACTTCTTTTTCGTGTCCACACTGGCCATGCCAACGGAAAAGCATCCACCGGCGCAGTGCAAGACCCATGATGAAAATTGTAACATGGGTCAGAGTTTGGGTGCAGAGAGGAAGTTTGAGATGGATGTTGATCCGGTCACCCTGAAGCGCATAAATTGGTGGCTATTCGAAACATGGTATCTGTACAAATGTGTATACTATCTGGGTGTTCTCGGCACCAAGCGACACCATCCCTACGATAGTGCTTTGTCAATGTTCCAGGGCGGCATTTCCTATCAAATGAATGTAACAGAGGTAACAGAACCTATCGAAAATTTAACTGTAAATACCGTTGATGATTTGTTCCATGTTCACATCTCGGCGGAGCTCCTTGAGGAGCTACGGGACCTACTGGCTGATCCCGCAGTGCTCTTTCAGATCATATCGCAGCAGAACGTTCACAACATGTACTGGTGGTATCCGGAGCCATTGCCGTCGGAGACAAATGTACTCATTGTTCATGCGTACAGTCCCAAAAAGAACTACCCTATGGGGGCGCGATTACCGCTTAAAAATCCGTTGAATTATTACTTGAACATTTCCAAATTCAGTGCGAATCCAGAGTTCGTCAAATGGATGGCCAACAGCACCATCGAGAGCCACTCTCACATACACGTTTATAAGATACCCTTGAGATCGAAAAGTGTGTTGGCTGTGCGCATCGTTCTTGTTACAGAGGACACACTTATTTTTATATCTATGCACAAAAAACCAAAAATGCACGAAATCAGAGAAAGCGCTTGCCACATAACGCCAAATATGAAAGGTAAACGAATTTGGATGACGAACAACTGCCCAGGCACTTCCATTGCCTATGTGGGTGTACTCAGTAGAGAGCATAAGCTCAAAGATGATCAAAATGATAATAGACATGACGAGTCGTCAAGGAGGAGTCCAGTAAAGGTAGGAAAAGCTCAAAAAAACAGAGGTTTGTTTTTTACTGATCTTAATCGATTTCATTCCTATTTTGAACCAAATTGAGATTTCGGATACTTTTTATTTTTTCGATAGATTACTTTAATTTTTAAAATTTAATTTAGTTTACTTTTTGTTGATTTTTTAATTTTGATACCCGGAACTCGGAAAGTATAGAGGTATCCTAGAGTTTTATTGAAAGTGGGTATGTCTAACACCCAAAAAACACATATATATTTATTCTTGATCAGCATCAATAGCCGAGACGACCGAGTCTGTTTGTCCGTCTGTCCGTCCCTATCAGGGATACGCAGCGCCCGACGACTCTCTCAGACTGATTTTCTGTCTCTCTCGCACGCACTCTTTGTCGTGTCGTTCAATATTATCGGCGTCTGCCGGAAGAGAGCCATACTGACTAAGTATCGGGTATAAATGTAGAGTTGCGGTCCCCGCAGCAACACACAACTTTCCCCCTCGTTTACTTTATTGATTATTTATATTTTTTCGTACATAATTATTTTTTTTTTAATTTAAATTTTTTATATATGTATGTACATATGCTAAGGTTTATTTATAAATATTTTATTTTATTAAGAAAGTTTTTTGTCGGATAGTTTTTTTAAATTTTATTTCATTACATTTATTCTTAGTTTTTAATTTATTTATTTTTAAATTTGATGTGTTTTTTTTTATTTATCTCATATCCTTGAAATTTATATTTGCGATAACTAATATCTATGTATTCTTCCACATCCTCATTCTGCAGAAATCAATTAAAAATGGTCTCAATTATTCGATTCTCCTTGAGTCATATCAGTGCAACTTTTGGTTGAATCGCTCGTTGAACCCCGGTTGGAGTTCAGAATATTGCACCACAAAATTAGAAAATAGGGATGGCATTTTTGTCGAATGCACCTGCGATATCCTCGGATCGCAAGCCGCGCGCATATTTCCCGTTGCCGCCGAACGACATATTACGGTGTTAGTCTTTCCCATACTGGAGACAAATTGGTATATGTTTGCCTTGTTTGCGATGCTACTCCTACTGCTTTTGGTGGTACTTTTTACGTATATCAGTCGTATGGGCGACCTGGTGCGTCGGCCTATCCAGCAGTGCCAGAAGAAGCATGTACGGTTCAAGAAGGACATGACGTTTAATCCGGAAAAGGCAATACTTGTACTGATCAAAACTGGCGGTCATGAGTTCGCTGGAACCACTTCCAACATCAAATTCTACTTTAAATCGAACAATGGCAGACAGTCCTCGTACATGATATCACAGGATCCGATGCGACCACGTCTCGTACGGAATAGTATCAATAAAATAAGCATGCCTGGCGATAGCGTGCAAATACCCACCCGTCTGGCCCTTGGAATCGAACGGAATGGACGGTATCCGAGATGGTATTGCCGGACGGTGTCTATTGCCCAATTGGAGAATGATATGGAGCAACTTTTTATTGTCGAGAGATGGATCGAGGAGGGGCACACGCCCTTCATTCATTCCCCCTACTTCACACACTCGGCAAGAGCAAGGCCCGTGAAGTCCTGGACGCGACGTTTCCGGAACAGTTTCGAGGAGCGTTTCATCAATTGGTTTTTTATCAACCCCATGACGGGGCCCTGGCTAAGCCGCAATACCCTCTTTGCGATGACAAGCTTTGAACGCTCCTGCGTTTGGATTTGTAATGTCAGTCTAACGATTCTCCTGGTCAGTCTCTACTTTGGAGCCTCTCCGTTTGAGCCGGTCATCGAGGAGTCCCTCAAAGATGAAAAGACTAGTCTAAAACTGAAGGAAGTTCTCATCCTAGGGGCATATTCTGTTGTTATTGGAATCAGTGTGCTCTTGTTCTTTGAGTTTGCGATCATGCGTTGTCTCTGGCGACGGCATTGAAATGGAAAATTCTAAAGGAATGGGAATAAAAGAGAAAATGGAACCTGTTTTGGGTATTCCTCTGTTCCCGGTATACGGCTAATGGATTTTTCCATGGATAATTAATAATAATAATAATAATTACCTTACCCAGAATCCGAAAAGCAAGAACGCAAACACACTCACACACAAAAAAATGTTTGCCCTTTAAACACCTGGCATTTGAGTCCTATTATTACCAGATAAACGCACTTTTGATTGTATACTTTTAGGAAACAACCCATAGAAACGCAGAGAAGAACTATGCCATGCCATGTGTAAAGTTTATAGTAAATAAAGTATGTTTGTTTGTTGTCGAATACTTACCGTTTTTTTCGGCGGCTTATAAAAATGCAGCACACCATTTCCTGCTTGCCGTGTCTGTGTTTTTTGACATAATTTCATTTGATTTAAATGGATTTTTTAAATGCAAATGAAAATGGTAATTGGAGTGGGAAAAATGATTGGAGCTCTGGGTTAAGTCTTGTTCTTTGTTGCTCTCTTGTTGATAATTGTGGGGATGTGTAAATTACCAGCTGTACCAGACCATTTCTCCTTTCTGGACTAGTATTTGGCACTTGTATGCTTTTTTGGCCTTTGGACCGGTGCTTCCCATTCGCATTGCCTCTTGAGTCAACTGGAAAAATATGACAAAAACAAATGTCTACACAAATATGGATTCCAAGTATTGATAAATTTTTAGAGAAGTTTGTACTATGCAATACTATCTGTGCCTCATGATGACATCGATATCGATGATGTGGTTCGTGGTTCGTAGTGCCCAAAATGAGGGAAGCCAATGGGACCTTGAAGGGGATAACATTGAATCAACCTCCAATCAATCGGCACACAGCTTCATGCAAATACAAAAAATACCCGAAAGATATCGTAACTTTTTGAATTGGAATAACGAGGTCCAGAATAACATGAAGACCATTCCTGCAAAGCGAAATCCATTTCATAATGAAGAGCAAAGAATCAAAAGACTTTGGGATCCTGCCAACAATGAAAGCCTTGATTATCGGGAAAACCAAAAAGCATTCTCCAGGAGGAGGAAACGGCAAGGGAAACGTAGAAATATTACGTATCCCCTTGAACCTCACATGGAGTTCAATCGTCATCCGATTTATGGCAGACTTTATCACATTATCGTCATGATGCCCAGCCTGGGCGATGAAAAATTTATAATGACCTTGACGGCCGATACGAATGATTATCTGATCGATGAGATAGTGACTGTGCCCAACGGTAAGCCAAATCCTTGGCGTTACACCAATAAATTGCCTTGGATATTGAGAAAGTATGGCATTCGTGTTACCAGGCTGCCGTACAGAAGTGGCTACTACTATCAAACACATGCCAGTTACTTCAACTCTCATCAGCGTTACGTTTATATCCTCATTACGGCGTTCAATAATCGAAAAAAAAATTTGGCACGCAAGGCACGACGTGATATCAAAATAATATTCCCAAAAGCTATGAGTTGTGACCCGATGTTTAATCTGCCTTTCTGCAAGGATCCCAATGAACCTATAGAAGTCTCACCCCGGAGTCATTTGCAATTCTCTGCCGAGTTAGGAGACGAATGCGAGAGTTTTGAATACGATCATGTGGATTGGAACTTTTATGATATAAGAGAGACACGTAATGAATATTTGTTCTTAATATTAATATTCATACTATAATCTAGCTACTACACCCAGAATTGATTGGTCATGCGGGTGTCACCAAAGGCCTGACGCTCAAGCTACCACCGTATAAGATTAAATATAAATACAATCCAATGCTCGGAAAATTTGTGTTTATTTTGCGAGTAAATGCAATTATAAATGGCGTGAATTGTGTGGCAAGGGTATGTAAATATTTACAGAGAGATGATCGATACAAAATTATGATCTGAGATCCCATTTAGTGTTACGTACGAATGCTCGCACCTCTAGTGGAACCGAGAATCCGGGGTAACATGAATCGTATGGTCAATGTCGAGCGTGAGATTGTGATGGATGCCAGTAGAAGTCGAGACAGATCGAGGAAACGAGCAGAAGATAATTCCAGGATATTCATTTGGGGCTGTGTCAGCGTAGATGATCCGACAAATAAGTACTGTCGTCAAGACATGAGTACTAGTGAGTACGTTACGAATACTACTTAAGCACACAAACTCTCAATCAAAAATCCTGAAATGGGATACTCCACAGAGGAAAAGATAATAATACCACCAAATTCATTGAAACTCGGCAGTTTCTATAACTACAGTTTGACAATGGTTTCGCGAATGGATTACCGCGTATATGTCACGGTATATCAAATGTTGGAAGTTGTCAAGCATCGTACCATCACGGCACATATACTTTGCCATCGAAATTGCTATATGAAAACGTATGCCCCCATCGATAGTTTCCACTTGTCGGGTCAATGTGTTGATTGTGATTCAAAGATTTATCGCTATAGATGGTATTTGACTTTCCCTGGGGATGAGACAAGCTGGTCCGTGTCAACAACTAAAAATCTTGTAACGCAACATACTGTGGAGGAGCTGCTGATAACACTGGTGATCATACTGAAGGATGGGCTCACGGGTTCGGCGAATTTAATAATGAAACGAAACGATGGACCACAGAATGGAGAATGCCATATATTTCCACTCAGTGGAATAGAGGCCCATACATACTTTTACGTGCCTTGCCAAAACTTCGAAACCAAATATCCACCATTACAATATAGGTATACAGTCGAAATGAACGTCATCGACTCGAATGTACCCTATCCACTGTACAAATTGACACTACCGTCCACCAACGAGTTAAATGTATCTATATGCGATTACCTTGACATGTGCATAGAAGTACAACTTAAGGTCACAGTGGTTAAAACCAAAAGAATAGGTGAATATAACGAAAACAATACGCTAAAGCATCTTTCGGATCTGAAGAACTATATAAGTAAGGTGCCGTACTTGTTGACGCGTGGTAGATGGAACAAGGCCTACGTCATGACACTGGTGGCTATGCAGAGGATTGAAACACCATCCGAGGGCAGAGTGGTCTACGAATATCTAGACAAAGGAAACATAATAACAGGTGCACAGCTCGAACAGCTCTCAGTGTTGGCCTGTCAAGCTATTGACCGTTTGAATCCCATGGAATATAAGGAAGCAGGAATGGTTGCACAAATATTTACACGAATGAGCCAGGTATTCGAGCAGATAATCCAAGACATCGAATGGCTACATCGGGCAGCGTACAACGCGCTCACCGATCATCACTTATTTTTCATGTTCAGACTGGCCATGCGAACGGAGAAGCATCCGCCGGCACAGTGCAAAACCCATGATGAAAATTGTAACATGGGTCAGAATTTGGGTGCAGAGAGGAAACTTGAAGCAGAATTGGATCCGGTCACACTGCATCGCGTCAATTGGTGGCTATTGGAAACATGGTATCTGTATAAATGTGTATACTATCTGGGTGTTCTCGGCACCAAGCGACACCATCCCTACGATAGAGCTCTGTCCACGTTTCAGGGCGGCATTTCCTATCAAATGAATGTAATTGAGGTAATAGAACCTATCGAAAATTTAACTGTAAACACCGTTGATGATATGTTCCTTGTTCGCATTTCGGCGGAGCTCCTTAAGGAGCTACGAGACCTACTGGCTGATCCCGCAGTGCTCTTTCAGATCATATCGCAGCAGAACGTTCACAACATGTACTGGTGGTATCCGGAGCCATTGCCATCGGAGACTAATGTACTCATTGTTCATGCCTACAGTCCTAAAAAGAACTACCCTATGGGGGCGCGTTTACCGCTTAATAATCCGTTGAATTATCACTTGAACATATCCAAATTCAGTGCGAATCCAGAGTTCGTCAAATGGATGGCCAACAGCACCATTGAGGGTCACTCTCAAATACACTACTATAAGATACCCTTGAAGTCGAAAAGCGTGTTGGCTGTGCGCATCGTTCATGTCACAGAGGAAATACGTATTTTCATGAGTTTGAATCAAATACCAAAAATGCACGAAATCAGGGAAAAAGCTTGCCACATAACGCCAAACATGAAAGGTAAACGCATTTGGATGACGAACAACTGCCCAGGCACTTCCATTGCCTATGTGGGTGTACTCAGTAGAGAGCATAAGCTCGAAGATGATCAAAATGATAATAGACATCGCAAGCCGAGTAAAGTAAAAGTAAGAAAAGCTCGAAAAACAGAGGTTTTATATTACATGCGATTTCATTGTTATATTTTTACATTTTTTAAATATTATTGTACCCGATACTCTAAATGAGTTTGGGTAAAAATGGATGTGTGTAACGTCCAGAAGGAATCATTTCCGACCCCATAAAGTGTATATATTCTTGATCAGCATCAATAGCCGAGTCGATTGAGTCATGTCTGTCTGTCCGTCTTTCCGTCTGTCCGACCGTATGAGCGCCTAGTGCTCAAAGACTATAAGAGCTAGAGCAACGACATTTTATATCCGGACTTTTGTGATATGTCACTGTTACAAGTATATTTCAAAACTTCGCCTCGCCCACTTCCGCCCCCACAAAAGGCGAAGATCTGTTGCATTCACAATTTCAAAGACACGAGAAAAAAAAAAAACGCAGAATCGTGAAGGATGCCCATATCTTCTAGACTGCAAAATCTGAACCAGATCGTATAATTATTATAGCCAGAATTAAGAAAACAATTTCATTCTCTCTCGCTTTGTCTCTCTCTAGCACTCACACAAAATGTGAGTTCCTAGATCTCAGAGACTATAAGAGCTAGAGGAACCAAATTTTTATATCCAGGTTCCTTTTACGAGTGTATCTTTCTCCTTCCGCCACCATAAAGGATGAAAATGTGGTCTTCACAATTTTGAAGATAAGATAAAACAAAAAAAAAAAAAACCAAGAATCATAGAAAATTACCATTTCTAGCAGATGACCGTATCTAGATTGGATAATTTTTATCTAGAAGAAAAAAATGTAATTGCACTGGCTGCTTTCTCACACACTCTTCCGCGTGCAGTGTGGATGCTCTGGGGGAAGTGAGCGAGATAAAACAGCTGTGAGAATAGAAGAAAAGAAACAGATGTACAAAAATGTATAGAAAGCTGACACAGATAACACCTCTCGAACATCAAGAAAGTTGAATCAGAAAGGAGATGTTATCTGCCTATTTTGTAGAATTTTTTTTTTTTTTGAACAGCGATACCAAAGTACATATAAAATCTATATCTATCACATATGTACATACATGCTGACTGAGGACAAGGTACTCGCAACGTTCCTGCTTGTTTTTATTTACTTATCTTATAATCACATAAAATAGCTCCTTTAGGACTGTTCGGGTGTGAGCGGAGAAAATGTCTGTAAGCCCATTAACACTTATTCAATGTAGACCATAATACCATTTATGGTGCATTTTTTTTTTTTTTAACCATAAAGCTTTGCCCTGTTCGATTTTTGCTCATTGAAGTAAATCCAACGGGAATTCCCGAGGAAACTTTTCAGAATGCAGAAAAACAAAGTGATCACATTTTTCGAGAGATTCTACTGTATTATTTTTAAATTTTTGTGTATTTACTTAAATGTTATTACTATTTTTCAAATTTAATTATTATTTATTTAGCTTTTTGAATTTGATATTATATTATTTATATTTTTTTTCTTTCATTTTTTATATATTTTTAGAATTTATTGTTACCTATTCGAATACTTTACAGTTGTTAATAAATAATATTTTTCGCAATATAGTTTACGATAACTAATATCTATATTTTCATCCACACTCTGCAGAATTCAAATAAAATTTTTATCGATTATTCGATTCTTCTTGAGTCATATCTGTGTAACTTTTGGTCAAATCGCTCGTTGGACCCAGGTTGGAGTACAGAATATTGCACCACAAAATTAGAAAATGCGGAAGGCATTTTTGTCGAATGCACATGCAACATCCTGGGATCGCTAGCCGCGCGAATATTTCCCGTTGCCGCCGAGCGACACGTAACGCTAGTGGTCTATCCCATACTGGAGACAAATTGGTATATGTTTGCCTTATTTGCGATGCTATTCATACTGCTGTTGTTCTTACTCCTTACGTATATCGGTCGTCTTATCGTCCATCGGCTTCGACATCTGCAGGTCCTGCAGTGCAAGCAAAAGCGTGTGCGGTTCAAGGATGAAATGACATTTGAATCGAAATTGAATATGATTGTAGTGGTCAGAACAGGCGCTCAAGAATTTGCTGGGACCACTTCCAACATCAAATTCTACTTCAAATCGATGAGTGGGAAACAGTCCTCTTACGTCATAACACAGGATCCGCAAAAACCGCTTCTTCTACGGCATAGCGTCAATAAAATAAGCCTGCCCGGCGGTAACGTTGAAATACCCAGCCACCTGGCCTTTGGCATCGAACGGAATGGACGGTATCCGAGCTGGTATTGCCGGTCGGTGAGTGTTGTCGATTTGGAGAATGATAAGGAGCAACTGTTTATAGTCGAGAGATGGATCGTGGAGGGGTACACGCCTTTCATTCATTCCCCCTACTTCACAAACTCGGAAAATGCAAGGCCTGTGCAATCCTGGACGCGACGTTTCCGGAACAGTTTCGAACAGCGTTTCCTCAATTGGTTTCTTATAAGCCCCATGACGGGGCCGTGGCTAAGCCGCAATACGCTCTATTCGATGACACGCCTTGAACGTTCTTGCGTTTGGATGTGTAATGTCAGTCTAACGATTCTCTTGGTTAGCCTTTACTTTGGACCCTCTCCGTATGAACCGATCACCGAGGAGTCCCTCAAAGATGATAAGACTAATCTAACCATGAAGGAAGTCCTCATTCTAGGGGTATACTCTGCGGTTATTGGAATCAGTGTGCTTTTGTTCTTTGAGTTTGCGATCATGCGTTGTCTCTGGCGTCGGCATTGAAATGGAAAATTCTAAAGGAATGGGAATAAAAAAGAAAATGGAACCTGTTTTGGGTATTCCTCTGTTCCCGGTATACGGCTAATGGATTTTTCCATGGATAATTACCTTACCATTACCTTACCCAGAATCCGAAAAGCAAGAACGCGAACACACTCACACACAACACAATTTTGTACTTAATACCATTCCATTCCGCTTTGCTCGGACAATTTAAGAAATGTTCGCCTTCCATATCACTCATCCATAGAAACGCAAACCAGAGAAAAAAACTATGCCATGCCATGAGTAAAGTTTATAGTAAATAAAGTATGATTGTTTATTGTCGAATACTTGCCGTTGTCTTTGTTGGTTTATAAAAGTTCAACACTCAATTTCCTGCTTGCCGTGTCTGTGTTTTGTGACTAAGTTTCATTTTATTTAAATGGATATTATAAACGCAAATGGAAATCAAAATTGGAGTGGGAAAAATGCTTGGAGCTCTTAAGACCTTTACTGTATTACTCTCTCGTTGAAGATTTTGCTGATGTGTCCTTCTGGATGCTTTTGTGTGGTCAATAAATTACCAGCTGTGCCCAGGCTTTTGGTAATTTTTGCACTCGTATTTGAAGTACACTTTTAGGATTTTTACATACACAATTTGTAACTACTTTAAAACAATTATGAAGGCAGACGGCAAACATGTATCGAGAAAGTTTAAGAAGAAAAACGCAAGTTTTCTGCGTTTAAATATCTCGTGGTGCCTGTCAACCGCACATTTCGGATGCATTTAACCAAAGGAAGGAAGATTTTCCACACCGAAACGCTGTCGCTTTGGATATCTAAACACCTGTGCTTCCCATATCCATTGCCTCTTGGAAAAACATGACAAAAACAATTGTATACAACAAAATATGGATTACAAAATATTAATACATTTTGAGAGACGTTTTTATTATGCAAAAACTTCCGTTATTCATGATGGCAACGATATCGATAATGTGGTTCGTGTATCATGGTAGTGCCCAAAATGAGGGAAGCCAATGGGACTTTGAAGGGGATAACATTGAATCAACCTCCAATCAATCGGCACAAAGCTCCATACAAATACAAAAAATACCCGAAAGATATCGTAACTTTTTGAATTGGAGTAACAAAGTCCAGAATTACATAAAGACATTTCCTGAAACGAGAAATCAATTTTATAATGAAGAGCAACGAATCAAAACACTTTGGGATCCTGCCTACAATGAAAGCCTTGATTATCGGGAAAACCAAAAAGCATTCTCCAGAAGGAGGAAACGGCAAGGGAAACGTAGAAATATTACGTATCCCCTTGAACCTCATATGGAGTTCAATCGTCTTCCGACTTATGGTAAACGCTATCACATTATCGTCATGATGCCCAGCCTAGGCGATGAAAAATTTATAATGACCTTGACGGCCGATACGAATGATTATCTGATCGATGAGATAGTGACTGTACCCAACGGTAAGCCAAATCCCTGGCGTTACACCAAAAAATTGCCATCGATATTGAGAATGTATGGCATTCGTGTTACCAGGCTGCCGTACAGAAGTGGCTACTACTATCACACGCGTGCCACTTACTTCAACTCGTATCAGCGCTACGTGTATATCATCATTAAGGCTTTTAAGAATCGGGGAAAGATTTTAGCACACAAGGCACGACGTGGTATCAAAATATTACTTCCAAAATCCATGAGCTGTAACCCGATGTTGACTCTGCCCTTCTGCAAGAATCCCGATGAACCTATAGATGTCTCACCCCGGAGTCATTTGCAATTCTTTGCTGAATTAGGAGACGAATGCGACAATTTAGAATACGATCATGTGGATTGGAACTTTTATGATTTGAGGGAGACATGTAATGATTATTATATCTTAAAGGAAAAGTTCATGCTAATATCTATCTACCACACACAGATCTGGTTGGTCATGCGGGTATATCCAAGGGCCTTGTGCTCAAGATACCACCATATAAGGTGCAATTTAAATACAATCCACGTTTGGTACGTTTTTTATTTCTCTTGCGTGTAAATGCGATTATAAATGGCATAAATTGTGTTGCCAGGGTAAGTACATATTTACGTAAAGATGATCGATCACAAATGATAATCGGATTTCCCATTTAGTGTTACGTACGAATGGTCGCACCTCAAGTGGAACCGAGAATCCGGGGTAACATGAATCGAAAGGCCAATTTTGCGCGTGAGATTGTGATGGATGCCAGTAGAAGTAGAGACAGATCGAGGGCACGGACAGAAGATGATTCCAGGATATTCCTTTGGGGCTGTGTCAGCGTAGATGATCCGAAAAATAAGTACTGTCGTCCAAAAATGAGTACTAGTGAGTACGTTACGAATACTATTTAAATACACAAACTCTCAATCAAAAATCCTGAAATGGGATACTCCACAGAGGAAAAGATAATAATACCACCATATTCATTGAAACGCGGCAGTTTCTATAACTACAGTTTGTCAATGGTTTCGCGAATGGATTACCGCGTATCTGTCACGGTATATCAAATGCTTCAAGCTGTCAAGCATCGTACCATCACGGCACATATACTTTGCCGTCGAAATTGCTATATGAAAACGTATGCCCCCATCGATAGTTTCCACTTGTCGGGTGAATGTGTTGATTGTGATTCAAAGATTTATCGCTATAGATGGTATGTGACAGTGCAAGGAGGACAGCCAAAGATAGAGTCCAAATTTAAAAATCTTGTAACGCAACATACTGAGGCGGAGCTGCTCATACGACTGGAGATTAGACTAAAGGATGGCCTCACGGGTGCGGCGAATTTAATAATGAAACGAAACGATGGACCACAGAATGGAGAATGCACGATATTTCCAGTTAAAGGAATGGAGGCATATACATACTTTTACGTGCCTTGCAAAGGCTTCGAAACGAAATATCCACCATTACAATTTAGGTATACAGTCGCACTGAACGTCATCGACTCGAATGTACCCTACCCACTGTTCAAATTGACTCTACCGTCCACCAACGAGTTACATGTATCGATATGCGATTACCTTGACATGTGCATCGATGTAGGTCTTAAAGTCACAGTGCTTAAAACCAAAAAAATAGGTGAATACAACGAAAACAATACGCTAAAGCATCTTTCGGATGTGAAGAACTATATAAGTGAGGTGCCGTACTTGCTGTCGCGTGGTAGATGGAACAAGGCCTACGTCAAGACACTGGTGGCTATTCAGAAGATTGAAACATCTGCCGAGGGCATCTACGTCTACGAATACCTAGACAGGGGAACTATAATAACGGGTGCACAGCTCGAACAGCTCTCAGTGTTGGCCTGTCAAGTTGTTGAACGTTTGATGCCCATGGACTATAAAGAAGCAGCCATGGTTGCTCAAATATTTGCTCGAATGAGCGTGGTGTTTGAGCAGATAATCCAAGACATCGAATGGCTACATCGGGCAGCGTACAACGCGCTCACAGAGCACCACGTCTTTTTCGTGTCCACACTGGCCTTGCCAACAGAAAAGCATCCACCGGCACAGTGCAAGACCCATGATGAAATTTGCAAAATGGGTCAGAGTTTGGGTGCAGAGAGGAAATTCGAGATGGATGTGGATCCGGCCACCCTGATCCGCATCAATTGGTGGTTATTGGAAACATGGTATCTGTATAAATGTGTATACTATCTGGGTGTTCTCGGCACCAAGCGACACCATCCCTACGATAGAGCGTTATCAACGTTCCAGGGCGGCATTTCATATCAAATGAATGTAACAGAAGTAACAGAACCGATCGAAAATATTACTGTAAATACCGTCGATGATATGTTCCATGTTCACATCTCGGCGGGGCTCCTTGGGGAGCTGCGGAACCTACTGGCTGATCCCGCAGTGCTCTTTCAGATCATATCGCAGCAGAACTTTCACAACATGTACTGGTGGTATCCGGAGCCATTGCCGTCGGAGACAAATGTACTCATTGTTCATGCGTACAGTCCCAAAAAGAACTACCCTATGGGGGCGCGTTTACCGCTTAAAAATCCGTTGAATTATTACTTGAACATTTCCAAATTCAGTGCGAATCCAGAGTTTGTCAAATGGATGACCAACAGCACCATCGAGAGCCACTCTCACATACACGTTTATAAGATACCCTTGAGATCGAAAAGTGTGTTGGCTGTGCGCATCGGTCATGTCACAGAGGAAATACTTATTTTCATGAGTTTGAACCAAAAACCAAAAATGCACGATATCAGGGAAAAAGCTTGCCACATAACGCCAAACATGAAAGGTAAACGCATTTGGATGACGAACAACTGCCCTGGCACTTCCATTGCCTATGTGGGTGTACTCAGTAGAGAGCATAAGCTCGAAGATGATCAAAATGATAATAGACATCGCAAGCCGAGTAAAGTAAAAGTAAGAAAAGCTCGAAAAACCGAGGTTTTATATTACATGCGATTTCATTCTTATATTTTTACATTTTTAAAATATTATTGTACCCGATACTCTAAATGAGTTTGGGTAAAAATGGATGTGTGTAACGTCCAGAAGGAATCATTTCCGACCCCATAATGTGTATATATTCTTGATCAGCATCAATAGCTGAGTCGATTGAGTCATGTCTGTCTGTCCGTCTTTCCGTCTGTCCGACCCTATGAGCGGCTAGTGCAACGACATTTTATATCCGGACTTTTGTGATATGTCACTGTTACAAGTATATTTCAAAACTTCGCCTCGCCCACTTCCGCCCCCACAAAAGGCGAAGATCTGTGGCATTCAGAATTTCAAAGACACGAAAAAGCAAAAAAAAAAACGCAGAATCGTGAAGGATACCCATATCTTCTAGACTGCAAAATCTGAACCAGATCGTATAATTATTATAGCCAGAATTAAGAAAACAATTTCATTCATTCTCACACAAAATGTTGTGTTCCTAGATCTCGGAGACTATAAAGCCTAGAGCAACCAAATTTGGTATCCACACTCCTGTGATATCGGACCTTGAGAAGTTTGTTTCAAAACTTCGTCACACCTCCTTCCGCGCCCGCAAAGGTCGAAAATCTGGGGCATCCACATATCTCAGAGACTATTAAAGCTAGAGTAACCAAGTTTGGTATCCATACTCCTGTTGGATCTGACTATAAAACGTGTATTTCAAAATTTCGCCCTACCCCCTTCCATTCCCACAAAAAACGGAAATCTGTGGCATCCACAATATGAAAGATACGAGAACTAAAAACGGTTTGCCGGAGGAGAGCCATACTGACTAAGTATCTGGT